AGTAGTAGTAGTAGTAGTAATGAAAGTACTAATACTAATATAACTGTTGTTTCTAACTTTAAAATCCGATAACTAACTGATATGCATTGATATATTTTCCAAATTTTTATTTTATTATTATTATCACTTTTTTTTTCTTTTCTAATGATAGTAATTTAATTTTAGAAATATTTGAATGATTTGAGTATAATTATTAAGTATTTATAAAAATTATGAATGTATTCTTTGGTATATTCTTATAGAAATATTTTAAATTACTATCAATAAATATATATTTGAATATTGGATTATTGGAATATTTCATTTTTGCAAATTTAGAAATTTTTATTTTCTAAAAATATGGAAGCTTAAACACCAATTTCATTATATAAGCTTCTTTATAATTCATTGCAATAGATTTAATTGATTTAAAGGATTTAAATAAGCTTAAAATTTAAAAGTTTATTAAAGTTTAATTTCCAACTCAAATATCAATGAAAATTTTTTTTTTTTAACCAGTTCAGAAGCAGATGCGCGATAAATTTGCGCACAATAAAAATTTATTTATAAGATAGGCATAAATTGAAATTGACACATAATCGATATCTAATTAATTAATTTTATCCACCATGTAAGCCATATATTGCTTACAGCAGTTTCCATGTTTTTACGTTTTGACGTTTTTACGTTTTCACGTTTTCACGTTTCATTCTTCCACTTCACTTATGAAAAAATTAGATCGCTTTATTTTCTCAGAAATAATTTAAATACATTATCAAATAGTCGATAGGTTTAATGCGGTGAGATGAAAAAATTTATGCATAATTAAGCATGAAAAATTTAATCTAATATTTTTAGATATTTTTTTGTTGGAAATTTTTAAAATATTGTCAAATTTAACAATTAAATGATAAGTTAAAAAGCATTAAATGACATATGTAAGCTTACTTAAATAATATAACCTTTAAACATAAAAAGTAACCCAACAAAACATTACAGTACGAAGATTATCTACAAGTTATAATATTGATTTATGATAATTACGTTCTGATTTATAACCTGAATTAATAACCGTATCGACAAAGAGTTTTACCAATTTCACATTGCAATATGCAATATGGTGAAACAAATTATAATTGCAACAATAATTACTTTCTCATTCAAGCAAACTAATTATCCAAACACTTACTTATTACAGTAGACTATAAAGAAAAGCTTTTTAGAATAGTACCCACTTTTGGTACCATAATTTCCATATTTTCTTAAGAAAGGAAAAGTAAATTTTTACTCTTTCAAGAAAAGAATCTTAATTAATTAATTGCTTACCATTTGCTAGCTATAGTGATTCGTGCAATCGAAGAAATAGAAAATTTAACATAATGGCGATTAATTGTTACAGTTAATTTATCTAAATTTAATTTAATATATTTAAAAATGACTTCAGTTTCGTTTTTTTTAAATTTCAAATTTATTCATTACTTCATTTGAAATCAAAAATAATAAAAGTCATTTCAAAAGAAAAAATTAATCATTAAAACATGTATTTATCAAATTTGTCATTAAAAATTTCAAATTTTAATACAAAAAAAGAAAATCGCACATCTTTAAATATATGCAATTAATAATTAAATTTTATTTGAGCATTAATTTTATTATTCATTTTAATTAATGCTTTATTTGCCATCAGAATTTGACTATTTTACTTTTATTTTTTTCAAGTAACACTGTTATATGCTATCTTTTCCCATTCTTTTTTATTAATTCATGTAATTAAAATGGCTTAGCTGAAAAGATTATGGTAATTTTTTTTTGAAACATTGAATTTAAATAATTTAAAATAAGAATTCCAGGAATTCATTTTCTCTCGCCTTTTTCTGTTATAAATTTAATTCACTCCTATAATGTTTCATCATTTCAATTTCTTATGACACAATTAAAATATGTGGAAGAATGAATGATTGTAAAACAGGCGAAAAAAAAGGTCCTAAAAGTTTGAGAATTAATTAATTAATTAATTACAGATATTTCAGTCTAATCCGAGATTAACTTCAAACTACATTATTATTTATTGTTATTTTTCTTTTCTAACTTTTTTCTTTTCAAATTGTTAGCAAAAGGAAAAAAAAATAAATTCAAATTTTTGTGTTAACTTCACAATAATCAATCGAGAAAATTATTTGCAATATCCGGAAAATATTTGTAAATTCTCGGAAATTAATTATTATTCGTATAGCATACACTTGATGATTTCAATTTTGCATTCAATCTATGTTAGCACGCTATGCTGCATGCATGCTATTACTGCATTTCTGCATTTCTTGCTTAACATTCAAAATATGAGAAATTGAAAGGAAATGAATGAAAAGAGAATAAATGAACCAAAGAAACGATATATTAATTAATAATTAATTATCTCTCATTCCTATCATCATCAATGGTACATTTTATTTTACTCATTCAAATAAAATGCTTCATCCTTCTTCCTTCCTTCTTTCCTTTTATAACATAAAGCAGCTGTTGAATGTTACTACCGTATTCCATGAAATATCATAGATGCTATAAAATAGTAATGATTTCATGGAGAATAAGACATATTTGATGATAAATTTAAAATCAATTAAGCAATAAATCAATTACTATCTTTCATAACATTTATCATTGCAAAATTATTTTATTCATTTAATAGATTTTTAAGCCATTCATTTTAATTTTAATAAAATCAAAATTTTATTAAAATTAAAAGGAAAAACAAAACTTGTCAGCGAAAAAAATAATGCAATTATTCAATTATTATATTGAAGAAAGGAAAAATTTTAATTTAAAGACTGAAAAATGAGAATTAGTGAGAAGAAATCATTTAAAATTTGGATTGCAAAAAAAAAAAGAAAAATGAATTTGTTTTTATTTTTTTTTAATCAAATTTCAGAATACGAGAAGGAGTAAAGCCTGGAATTGCTTCTAATCCTAGCAAAAGACATCGTGAACGATTGAACAGTGAATTGGAAATTGTTGCTGCATTATTACCGTATGAACAAAACGTTATTTCAAGGTTAATTATAAAATTTAAATCTTCTTTATCATCAAATTCAAATCAAACTAACAAATAACTGGAATTATCAGAAGAGAAGGTTTGTTTTTTCAGATGATTAACAAATTATCTAACGTTAATTGATAGATTAATAAATAGTAATTAGGTATTTTAAGTTATTCAATCTTTCATTTAAATTAATAACATATTGAAAAGTATAATACTATTTGGACAAAGATGTAATGATAATTACAAGGGAAAGAAATGTATTGGAAAAATTAATTTATCCCTAGAAGTTAGCATAAATAATACAAAGGAGAATTGTTATCTTGAAATTATAATACCAAATTAGGAAAGGTATTTGAGTTTTATGCGCGAAAAACATATTCGTCATTACAGGATTATTGATTTATTGATTAAAAACTATTAATTAGAAATTAAAAAAGTGGAATGGTTAATTAGAAACCAAAGGAAAAAATTAAATTGAAATGTTATAAATTAAAAAATACTTTTTATTATTCGAAATTTGCAAATACTCCAGAATTTTTGCTATCTAAATTTTAAAATTATCCCGCGATTTCCTGAGATTATTATCAGTAAATTGAATTTCAAACAACAGAAACATTTCTCTTACATCATTATTCAGGAACAAATCAATCAATCAAATTCCGTGGCAAATAATTTTGCATAATTTTATTCCAATTATGATTGAATTTTAATAATTATTATTATTTAAATTAAATTCTAATATTTAATTGAACTATTTTTGATCAGTGAAAAATCTTCCAAAATACAATATTAAGCTTTTTTTTGTCATCATTTGACATTATTTTATAAAAATTGAAAATGTAATTTAAAAATGATCAATAATCAATTTACTAATATTTCAGGTTAGACAAACTTAGCGTATTACGATTAGCTGTTAGTTATCTGCAAATTAAAGCACATTTTCAAGGTTAGCATATTTCATTCCATATTTATCATTTATCATATTTGTTCTATCAGTATGTTGAAATAATGATTTATCCTATTCTTCATAATAAGTTATAACATTATCATGACGTACGTAAAATTCTGACGTTGTGTGGTAACATTGCAACGTATCATAACATTTGTGTGGTAACGTTGTAACGTGCCATAACATTTGTGTCGTAACGTCGTAACGTGTCGTAAAATTGTATCAGATGTGACAGAATACAAAAGTCATTAGAAATATGAGCATAAAAGAATGAATCGCTTCATGTAGTGACGTAATTTGATAGATGTTGACAAACGATGACATATGTTTGACAATCGTATCGTTCATTCGTTTCTTTCACTCTCTCTTTTTTTTTTTTTTTTTTTTGCCTCAATTAACAAAGTAAATAAAAAGTGTCAATTTAATTATTCAATTCTATTTCTTATTTCTTTATTTCTATAACGAACAACATTGTAATAATAATGATG